CCGTGGTTATTATTTCTGGTGGATTCGATCGTCAATATCCAATACGAAATTATTGGAGTTATACGTGGTAATAGTAATTTTATTTCACTTTTACCACCGGTATTTTTCCACGGGCCCCACTCGGGATTAGTTATAATCCCAACAACTGGTATCAGAGCCTTTGGTTGGTAAATTCTGTCAAAGTTTCTGTCAAAGTTACTAATCCAGTTAATAGTGAATTTCGTGAATAGTAAATTTTGTCCAGATTCAGAAATCAGAAATGCAAACGGGGGGCAATGATCAAATTGAACAGAATTCGAATTATTCAATGTGGAAATCTAGAAATGGAAGACTTACCTCAATTGCAAAAGATCTGTAACATCCAATTGAAGGTGACAGTGCAAAGCCAGAAGAAATTGAAAGAAAGGCAGTGGGAGAAATTAAAAAGCAAATTGGGTAGAATACGCCAATGGATAGATGCTAAGCCTGTACAACCAATGTGAAGAAAATGAAAAAAGATCCGCAAGTTCTATGGAAGAAATTTAAGAGAATATGTACGGGCTACGAATGCTGCAAAGGAAAAGTCTTCAATGATGCGTAAAAAGGTCATGAACCTTGAAGTGTCAGAGGGACGATCAATTAACACAACACCTGAAACGATTTTGAAGGAATCGTAACTGAGTTAGTAGTTTAGCGATATGTCCTTAGAAAGACGAGATGCAAAGCGTGCCTACTGTTGGGATCTCTACCGGATTGCTGGGATCTCTTTGTGGTGTCAATAAGTAACTCCAGGCTCCAAATGGTAATGGTAACGATTCTATGGTAAAGGAATAGACTACTTAATGAAACTATGAAGAAGAGATGTTGCCCCCAGTACCAGTTCACAAGCCCTTGTCACAGAGAGTAAGGGGTCGGAGCAAAGAGTAAGAGGTCCAAAGGCATGTAAAGTCAAGTGGTAGATCCAAGTCCAGAAGATGATGAGAATGTACCATTGCGGTAAGGAGGGTCATCTCAAAAAGAAAATTGATCGATTTACTCAAACAGGGTAATCAGACCGAAACAAGAGAATGACAGAAATTAAATCTGCTAACAGTCTCAGGAGAAGATGGTGAGGTGACTTTAGTCACATTATGATGCAGATTGCTGTCATGTTGGAGATTGCACGATACCGAGTGGATAGTAGACTCTGGTGCTTCATACCAACTGTGTTCCAAAAAGGGAATGGTTTTCCACTTAATAAAGTAGAGACTTTGCAACTATTAAAAATGGGAAATAATAAGTGTCTCGCAAGTGGTGGGCAATCGGTGAATATCTACATAAAACAAGTGTCGGGTGCATATTTAATCCTTAAAAAAATGTGAGACATAATTCCCGATCTTTTCGGGTTGAACGTGTTGTCTGTGAGGTGTACTGGACCAAAGGAAGGCTATCACCAATACACGGGTGACGGTAATTGGAAACTCACCAAAAGGGTCCCTTTGGTGGTGGCGAGAGAAAAATTATGTTTGCTCGCTGTATAGATGCACCGCAATAAATATGTGCGGGTCAAACTGAATACAAGTTGCAGATGATGCTTCAACCCAAATGATGCTTCACCAAATTTGTGGCATAGGCGGTTGGCACACGTTAGTGAGAAAGGATTGAATATGTTGGCTAAGAAGTCCCTCATACCATTAGTCAAAGTAAAATAAACCCTTGTGATTATTGTTTATTTAGGAAGCAACATCGTGTCTCATTTTTTAAAAGCTCTAGACAGAGAGACAACAAGTTGGAGTTGGTACACTCTGGCGTATGTGGTCCCATAGAGGTAGAATCACTTGGAGGGAGTAGGTATTTTCTTACCTTCATTGATGATTTCTCACGAAAAACATGGATATACTTGTTGCGCACAAAAAACCAATATTCAAGCACTTTCAGCAATTCCACGCGATGGTGGAAAGGGAGACTGGAGTGGCATTGAAGTGTTTGCGCACGGATAATGGTGGTGAGTATATCTCTTATCTCTAAGGAGTTTTAGAAATTTGCAGTCGAGCACGATATCAGGCCATGAAAAGACAGTTCCTCAGTACGCCTCAACACAACGGCGTTGCTGAACAGATGAATCGCACCATTGTTGAGAGAGTCAGATCCATGCTCAAAATGACCAACTTACCTAAGCCATTTTGGGGAGAAGCTGTCAATACTACTATTTACCTAATCAACTGACTACCTTCAGCACCTCTGGATTTTGATATCCCGGAGAAGGTCTAAATAGGTAGAAATATTTCATACTCTCATCTGAGGGTATTGGCTGCAAGGCATTTATGCATGTTCCAAAGGAGCAAAGATCAAAGCTTGGTGACAAGTCAATTCCTTGCACTTTTGTTGGTTATGGAGACGAAGAGTTTGGCTATAGGTTGTGGGACCCAGTGAAAAAGAAAATTGTCCGGAGCCGAGACGTAGTATTCCAAGAGAATGAGATCGTGGCAGATACAACTTGTGAAGAATCCACAAGTGATGGTGTTGTTGACATTACACCATGAAGCATTCCTACAGATGATGCCACAGGAGGAGGAATGCCAGAATCAGATGGTGTTATTGATATTACACCAGAAAGCATTCCTACAGATGATGCCACAGGAGGAGGAATGGCTCCCTTATCGGCCCTTGCGACTCGAGCCCACTTTTGACATAACCAATAGCCGACATTGAGCAACACTCCATTATTAATAGCCCATAGAAAATATAGTTCATTTCGTCCTAAAACACCGTCACTTTCACTTCTACTAAAAATGGTACTAACTAAAAATTTATGGATATATCTTAAAGCAGGATTTTTCAATTTTGATGCTTTAGATACCCTAGCATTATAAGTGCTTCCCCCTGCCAACTGATCCCACCTACGACGATCCATATTATCTGCAGGGACTTGGTTAACCGCATTTTCGGTAGGAAAACCAAAAATGTGACTAACTTCGTCGACTGATAGTTCATAATTTCTTCCAAGAAGTCTAAATTTAATTTTATTCTGAAAAAATTCAGCTGGAAATTTAATCGATGCAGAAAGTGAACTTAAAAATTCTAAGGTCAAAGGAGGATACACAGGGTCTTTCATTTCTATAAAGGTTCCCCACGCCACACGCTTTAAAGGTTCAATTACAGCATCTTTAAGCCCAACAATTGATAAAGCATCAACATCAATAAACTTATTTGGCAAAATGGGGCATGATAGAAGTTTATTGTACCTCTCCAAATGGTTTTCAGAACCCATATCAAATGGAAGAAGTGGTGGACTGTTAGATGGTGGAGAGACCATGGAAGATCGAGTGGAGGAGCCGCGTCTAGATGCTACAGATGACAAGGGCCTGCTGTGCTTATACCTGGGAGGCATGATAATGAAAAATATGTAAGAAAATCAGAGAGAAATGCAAGAAAATGAGAGAAAACGAGAGAAATTGAGAGAAAATGAGAGAGGAAGGCTGCTGGCGGCTAGGGCGTGCAAGGTTGAATGAAACAGAGTTAGGGCGTGTTATTTAAAGTAGCGTGCACGGCCGTGCGGTCCAGCACGCTCTGGACCGTGCTATTCTCTGGAAGTTAAATTGGTAGCGGGCACGGGCGTGCGGCATGACACTGTCCAAGGCGTGCACCTCTCTGGAAGTCTGAGCGCAAACGGGCACGGGCGTGCGGCATGACACGGTCCAAGGCGTGCACCTCTCTGGAAGTCATAGCTCAAATGGGCACGGGCGTGCGGAAAGGCACGGCTTGGGGCGTGCGTGCGTTTTTCCTATAAGGCAAAGACTACTTACCTTGCACGGGCGTGCCAATGGTTTTGCCAGGGGCGTACGATGTGGCACAGGCGTGCTACGTAGCACGGTTTCAGGCGTGCAACCCTCTGATCCTCAATTTTCAAATTTTTCTTTTCACACTGTCATGCTTAATTTACACACCCAGGGCATGCTGCCTTTTTAACTCTTTGTTATCCCTGAAAATTTAATAAAACAAACAACAAACAAAACAAAAAAAAATCAAAATTTGAATGGGTTGTCTCCCATAAGCACTTTTGTTTAACGTTGTTAAGTTCGACGGACTGAACCTGATCCAAGCTAAGCAAGACTGATAGCGGTTTTAACGGGATCAAAATTTTCACCTTGGTAAACCTTTAAACGGTGAGCGTTAACCTTGAAACGTCGGTCAGCATCCATTATCTCAACTGCTCCATGCGGGAAAATTTCTTTAACCGTGAATGGGCCGGACCATCTTGAGCGCAATTTTTCGGGAAAGAGGCGGAGTCTAGAGTTGTAGAATAATACCTGTTGGCCTACCCTTAGATTCCGAAGGATGATACGCTTATCATGCCACTTTTTTGTGCGATCTTTATAGATTTTGGCATTTTCATAAGCATGTGGCCTACCCTTAGATTCCGAAGGATGATACGCTTATCATGCCACTTTTTTGTGCGATCTTTATAGATTTTGGCATTTTCATAAGCATGGAGCCGCATTTCATCCATCATATTTAATTGAAGCAACATCTTTTGACCAGCTTCCTTGGTATCAAAGTTGAGGAATTGGATTGCCCAGTATGCCTTGTGCTCAAGCTTGACAGGGAGGTGACAAGCCTTACCGTATACCATTCGATATGGGGACATGCCAATTGGTGTTTTGAATGCTGTTCTGTAGGCCCAAAGAGCATCATCGAGCATTTTTTCGATAAGCATGGCAGCCGCATTTCATCCATCATATTTAATTGAAGCAACATCTTTTTGACCAGCTCTCCTTGGCTATCAAAGTTGAGTGGAATTGGAATTGCCCAGTATTAGCCTTGGTGCTCAAGCTTGAAGGGAGGGTGACAAGCCTTACGTATACCATTCGATATGGGGAGCATGCCAATTCGTTATACCATTCGATATGGGGACATGCCAATTGGTGTTTTGAATGCTGTTCTGTAGGCCCAAAGAGCATCATCGAGCTTTTTGGACTAGTCCTTCCTTAATTGGCCAACTGTTGTCTCCCAGATCTTCTTGATTTCTCGGTTTGTGACTTCTACTTGTCCGCTCGTTTGAGGGTGATATGGGTACCTACATGGTGAGTAACACCATATCTAGAAAGTAGGGAGTCAAGGTATTTGTTGCAGAAGTGCTTACCACAATCTGTGATTATTGCTCTCGGAGTACCATGTCGTGTGAAGATATATTTCTTGATGAAGTTTAGCACACTTTTGGCATCATTATTAGGAAGGGCAACAGCTTCTGCCCATTTTGATACATAGTCCACCGCTACTAGGATGTATTGGTTTGAGTATGATGATGGAAAAGATCCCATGAAGTCCAGACCCCAAACATCGAAGATTTCGACTTCAAGAATGCTATTCAAGGGCATCTCATGTCTCTTCAAAATGTTACCTAACCTTTACTCTTTGACAACGATCACAAAGACGAACATAGTTAAAAGCCGTTCTTTAAATAGATTAGCGCAATATCAACCGCTTTCCAATATACGTGCTGCTGTTTGTTACTCTAAAATGCCCCTCCACATTCCATTGATATTGGCAGAATTAAGGACAACTATCCATTTCACTTTTCGCGTATTACACCGCCCATTTCACTTTTCGGTATACACCGCCGGAATAGCTAATCACTACAATATTTGAACAAAAAGGGCTCCTCCCAATAGTAGTATTTGATATCATGGAAGAATTTTTTCTGTTGTTGATAAGAAAAGTTGGGAGGAGTGATTTTGCAAACAAGATAGTTAACTATATCAGCATACCAGGGGGCTTGAGTATTTGCCGTTAGCAAAAGTTGCTCATGGGGAAAGCTTTCATTGATTTGTAGCTTGGTTGTATCCTCTTCCCCCAATTCTAGCCTGGAAAGGTGGTCAGCCACAAGATTCTTGGTTCCCTTTTTGTCACGAATTTCCAGATCAAATTCCTGCAATAAGAGAATCCAACGAATTAGTCTCGGTTTCACATCTTTCTTTTCTAGCAAATATTTGATAGCTGAGTGATCTGTGTAAACTATTGTTTTGGCTCCAATTAAATAGGCCCTGAACTTGTCAAAAGCAAAAACAATAAAACAACAATAGCTAACAATTCTTTTTCAGTAGTTTGCATTAATTCAATTGTGCATCATTCAATGTGCGACTAGCATAATAGATAATGTGCAACTTCTTTATCCTTTCTTTGCCCAAGAACGCGCTCCAACAGCATGATCACTAGCATCACACATGTGAGTTCAAAAGGAAGAGTCCAATCTGGTTGTAGTGATGCATAGGTGGTAGTGATGATAGGTGCTGAGATCAACTCCCTCTTTAACCTGTTAAAAGCATCTAAACATTCTTTATCAAAATTAAAAGGAACATCTTTAACTAATAAATTACAAAGAGGTTTTGTGATTTTTGAGAAGTCTTTGATAAACCTTCTGTATAACCCTACATGAACAAGAAAACTCCTTATTCCTTTCACTGAGTTAGGAGGAGGAAGTTTTTCAATTACCTCGATTTTGGCTTTGTCTACTTTAATTCCCTTTTGAGAGATCTTGTGCCCTAAGACAATACCTTCACTAACCATAAAGTGACATTTTTTTTCCCAAATTTTTAAAACAAGGTTAGTGTCTTCACATGCGTTGCATTAAATAAAGATTAAATTATGAAGACATGCCCGTTCAAAAGAAGAACCAAAAATACAGAAAAATCATCATTTAAATATCTCAATAGATTTTCTCAACCATATCAGAAAATCATGACATCATGCATCTTTGGAAGGTGCAGGAGCATTGCCATAGTCCAAAAGTCATTCCCTATAGGCAAAAAGTGCCATAAGGGCAAGGTGAAAGTAGTTTCTCTTGATCTTCAGGAGCCAATAGGTATTTTGAAAGTATCCTGAATAAACCATCCAGAAAACAATAGAAAGCGATAACCTGCAAATGTCCTTCAAGCATTGATCAATAAAGGGTAGGGGAAAGTGGTCTTTACGTGTTGCGCTTTGTTTCAATTTTCTATTAATCTATGCCACACACGCCAACCTTGTGGATTGTTCTTTAGCTGGGAATTTAATCCATTGTTTTCATTAAGAGGATAACAGTCATACCTCCTTTTCTTTGGCCAACAACTTGGACAGGACTTTCACCCAACTACTATCAGCGAGATGGATAGATAATGCCAGCATCCCAGAGTTTTATTATTTTCAGCCTTTCACATACCTCCCTTTCATGTTGGATTCAATGTCTTTGCATGCTCGCATTGAAGGCTTGGTAGTCTTCTATCCATCAGGATTTTATGCATGCATTATACACTCCGGGCTTATCCCCTGTGATCAGAAAATTGACCAACCCTATTGCTTTCTTGTGCTTTTCGAAGAACCTGCAACAATCCTTCCTCTTGATTCCAAGCCGTCCTCTTGATCAAGCGTTAAGTGAGAGGAAATAATAACAGGAAAAGAGTTCTTCTCACCTAGAAATGCATGCTTCAAATGAGGAGGAAGCTGCTTCAGTTCTTGTTTGGGTGGTGTGTCTTCTTTTTCTTTTTCTTCTGTACTATTTTCATTATTATTTACGCTATTTAAAGTGTTCTCTACATATTTATCAATTACATCTATTCTAAAACAATCATTACTCTCCATAGGAAATTTACAAGATTTTAACACATCAAAAACAACTTCTTCTTGACCTACTCTCAATGTCAGTTTCCCATCATGTACATCAATTCAATTTAGAGCTCTTTAGCAGTTGTTAAGAAAAGGTCTTCCAAGGATCAATGATTTTCCTTCTCTTACCTTCATACGGATGTCAAGGATGACAAAATCAACTTTGGAAAAAATGAATTTTCCTACCTTGGACTATGTTACGTCCTCTATAATTCCTTTGCGGGTATTTTGATTGATCGGTCGGCCAATTGTAGAGACATTCCTTGTTGGGCTTGAGTTTCCCCCATACCTAGCCATTTTAAAAACTTCATAAAGACATTTTAGATTTTGCTAGCTCCTAGGCTCAGCTAAAGCTATTTTCAAAATTTAAATTGCCAATATTTACAAAGCGAATAGGAAAAACCCCCTTGGCATCCTTAAGTTTAGGCCAGCCAATTTATTTTGAATGATTGCACTGCATTTCCTCAGTCAGCTTTTCAACCATGGCCTTTGATCATCAATCTTTTCTTTTTCTTGCTCAAGATTTCTTTTAAGAATTTTGCATAAGCTGGGGCAATTAGCAAGAGGCTTCGGCACAAAAGGAATGTTTATTTGCACAGCTTTTTGAAGACGTCAAGAAATTTCATGAAGCTTTTTGGGTCATCCTGCGTCTTTTTCAACCTTTTGTGGAAATGGAACGCGGTGCGAACATTTAGGGTTTTCACTCTTCCTTCTCCACCAGATCAATGATAGGTTGCCCTCTTTCTTCTTCTTTTTCCTTTCCCTTTCTTAGGCTTATCCTCCAATTTTTACACAACTCCTCAAGCGTTATGGCTTGTACCTGCTTCTTTTAGGATTTTTCTCAATGTTACTACGTAACGTACCTTGAGGGTCTAGCTGCCATCATGTTTGCAAACTGCTCCCATTTGGATCTCCAGATTTCTTATCGCAGCTTGTTGGATTTTTATTGTGCTTCTCTTTGTTTTCATTCATGAAATCTATGTACGATTTTTGACCAAGGCCAAGTAAGGAGATCATCATGCAGGACTTTTCTCAGCGCAGGCAAACAGGAGGCAAGAAACCTGGTGGTGCATTTAAAGTGTTGTTAGAATTACCATATGAAAGATTTGGATGATTTCTCAACCTGTTGTCGTAAGGGTTTGAGTATGGGTAATTCCTCCTCTGTTGGTTCATCACATAGTTTACTTGCTCCAAAGTTTGTGGATTTGCAGAATCTAACATGCATTCTTCAATCCCATGTGGTTCATTACATCTGTCACAAGTTTGTAGGATGGAGTTCACAGATTTAGTGGTTAGCAAGTCTAGCTTTCTTACCATGTTGTCTACCTTTGCATTTAGTGCTGTGATGGCATCAATTTCATAGATTCCTGATGGCCAATCAATTTCATAGATTCCTGCAGTTTTTCTTCCTTTCAAAACTGCTTTTGATAAGGCTATTGCCCCTCGCCATTTCTTCTATTAATTCATATGCCTCATCGATCTCTTTTCTTTCGAAAGATCCTTCCTTCAGCTCATCCAAAGTAATTTGTGCATATTAGGTGACAATGAATTATAAAAAGTTTGGACTTGTAACCAGTTTGGGCAACACTATGCGTGAGGACATTTCTCAGCAATCTTTGGAATCTTCCCAAGCTTCAGCTTCATATAAGCTTTCTTGATCATGATGAACGAAAGTCATGATCTCATTCTCAATTGGGTTGTTTTAGAAGATGGAAAGAATTTAGCCAAAAATTTCTGGGCTAATTCTTCCCAAGTTGTAAAACTTCCAGCTAGGCAAGATTGTAACCATGATCGTGCTTTGTCCCTTAGAGTAAAAGGAAAGAGTCTTAATCTAATGGCATCGTCAAAAACACCATTTCGTTTAAAAGTATCACAAATTTCCAGGAAATTAGTGATGTGAGCATTGGGATCTTCACTAGGGAGTCCTCCATATTGAATAGAAGTGGAAAGTAATTGATATTGAATAGAAGTGGAAAGTAATTGAATAATTGATGGTTTGATTTCAAAGTTATTAGCTTCCACTCTTGGTCGAGTAATACTAGAGGTAGCTCCATTAAGAGAGGGTGTGGTATAATCTCTCAGTGTGCGAATATTTTGTTGCTGTCTGTTCTAAGGATTTACAGCAAGAGGTATGTTTGGAAGTTGAGGATTAATCTCATCCATGTTTGATTGTTGTTTGGATCTGTTTTCTTGTGCTCTCCTTGCTACGTTGTTTCTTCTGCAGGTTTTCTCAATTTCTAGATCAAAGATCAGAGGTTATGTTCTTCCTGATCTTCTTTACATAAAACCTGAGATATTCTATAGAAAAATGAATAAAAGCAAATGAACAAATGAATGTTTAAATTAATAACAAGATAATTTGTATTGATATTGGTATTGCTAATCCTCGGCAACGGCGCCAAAAACTTGACAGCTTATTTCGCAAGTGTACGAATCGCCACAAGTAATTACGAATCGCCACAAGTAATATATGATGAGTAAGATAAATTGTTCCCCACGAGCGATTGTAATCCAAGTAGCCAAAATTTATGTCTCAATCTCGTTAATTATTTAAACTTATAATTGAGAGAATTGTTTTTATAAATGTAAAACAAACAAGAGCTTAAGTTAAACAAAGATTGATAAAAGGAACATCAAGGAATTGAAAACTACTATCGGGTTTTTTGATTTCACTTAATTCTTATCCAATTTATTTTCAATTAGTTCATTAATCAATTTAATTATTCAAGTAGGGGAAACAACTCTGAATTCACTAACAAGCTCTTCCGATGTTATTGCTAGGCTATTTTAATTCCATTTAATTACCTATTCTTCCAATAGCATAACTAAATTTATGAATCAAATCATTAAGCTATGTAGTTGTTTATGAATTTACAATTTAAAAGTTGATAAAATTCATAAAAACACCCAGAGTTCAAACTGTCACGACCCATTTCCGTGGGCCGCGACCCGGCACTTAGGGCCCAGGTAAGCTTTTAAGGCCCGAGCACGCTAGTAAGCCTTAAAACCACTACAACTCAAGGCATAGCACATCATTCAAATAGGAACAGTAAGCCCATACCAAGCTTAGGATATAAATGTTACATAATTCGGCCCAATTTTTTAATTATCACAAACCAAGTTTAGTTTGGGCCTAATTCATAATCAATCACATTCATAATATGGCATTACTGGTCCACCTGCACCTAATAATAACATAACAAACCCATACATTATAAGGTAACACATTTACTGGTAATCCCAATTGCAAAAATACACGACCCCTACAACTGCGGAGTTTTCAATCCGATAATTGAAACTAGAGTAGTAGCTATAATGATTATAATACCAATCCTCAATTATAATAACAAAAGTTATTAAGTACTTTTGTAGCTCCGGAGGGAAAATGACAGAGCTTCAGTTGGATCAAGCGACTTCCTACTTACCTGCAGGAGTTTGTGAGGAGAAGGGGGTGGTGAGTTTTTGCCAAACTCAGGTGAATAATAATAAATAATACACACACACACATTCACGCAAAATGGCACCCTAATATTCTAAAATTGAGGTATGCCTACTAGTCATTCATATTGGGCCACAACACTTAGCACCCACAAATAATTGTCACCTTCAAATAATCATGTTAAAGTGGAAATTAGTCAGTGGCACCACCTAAACCCAACGAGCCGTCCTCACCATATGGCTCGCCCTCTTCATACATGTGCACCAGGGAGCCGATCCCCCATCACTGGCCAACTGTCTAATCCTCATCTGACCAGTTCCTCTCATTTTTTTTCCATTTCCTACTCTTTTCTTTCCATATTTTTCCATATCAACAGGAGGCAACTCGGTGGTCTCCATCCAATCTAGATCGTCAAGTGCTCACAACAGGAGGCCACCCTGCGAGCTACAATCAAATCTAGATTGTCAGGTGCGCAACAACAAGAAGC